CCCCAAAACCCCAAAACCCCAAAACCCCATCAATATAAAATAATGATAGATTTGCATTGAGACATATTTTGAAATAATAATAATTAGAGTGCATGATTATATATTTAAGATGATTTAATTACTATTTATTGAAACAAGGGAAGAATATATTAGGGCTTATGCATTCTGATGTTATTTCCTCATTTTTCGATCTTGCCGAAATCGATACTTTCGTTGGGGTAGAAGTATGGAGTTTGGACGACGAATAGTTGCAAGAATCCAATGATGAGAATTGAGATCATGAAGATGGTGAAAAGAATACCGATCAAGGCATTTGGGAAAAGATACTTCTAGATGCCTGGGTATGATGGAATTACTTATTGGAGATGGACTGGTTCTTTGATAGTTGGCTCATCAGAATTAGCTTCTGGTGCAGTTTCTTCCTCAGGAGCGCCATCTTCGACTACACCTTCTTCGTTTAATTGAACAAGGCTAAGAGCTATGCCTGATTGATGGTGGATTGATTTTGATCCAGCAATAACAACAGCTGATTTGCCATCAATTTTCTCTGCTGATTCTTCGATAGTCTTTACAATTTTATCCATGGCTGAATTTGGAACCATTTCTCCGATTTTGAACAATGAAATTTTGAATAATGCGTTTGTGCTTGATAAGTCACTCTTTAGTTGATTATTAACTGAGTCTACATCAGCTAAATTATCAATGTTGTAGTTCATGTGAACTGGATCGATAGTTTGTTCGAAAGCTTGTGAATCGAATCCGCTGTTGACATCAGTATAAATCACACTGTTGCCCATAATCTTGTTCTTGAGGTAAACATAGCTTTAGCTGGCATATTGAACGAATTCTGAAGTGGTAAGTCCATCCTTTACGAACACTAGCACATTAGTCTTTCCGACGACAAAGTCTTAGTATTTAGCGACAACTGAATCTTAGCCAACTGTTGTGTTGAACTCAACTGGGTGGCTGTTACCGGCGTTTGTGCTGTAGACAACGAAGGGGTAATTTGCCTTGACTGAGTAGGAGATCAAGGAGGCTAAGCAGAGAGTAGCAAATGATAAAACCTTCATCTTTTAATATTTCTTATATTATTTTATTATTACTAGATACTTTAATCTTATTATACTTTCAATCACTCAAATACAATTGCACTTTCAAATGTCATTTTAATACTTTAAACTATAATATTTTATTAATAAAATGAGATATAGTTTAATGATTGTAGCAGCAGTCCTCTCGTTGAATCTATTTACTTCAGCGAGTGCATAAGAATCTGATGAACTCGGTCCTTCTTGCTATTTTGATTCAGACTGCAATGACTATGGTTGCTGCTCTAATGATCATTGTGTGAAGAACTCAGTGTGCAGGAAACTAAGAGCCTATCCTAAGGAAAGCTTTTAGACATGCTACGTTAACAACGACTGTATCTCTGAGTGCTGCCATAACAACTTCTGCACACTGCAGGATACCTGCGATTCAAGTGATACTGCTATTCCAATGGCTATCTTCATGGTAATTATAGGATTCATCATGATATTTTTGATGGTCTTCTTCATCAGAGATGTCCTGCTCTTCAGAAAGAATAAGAGGGTATAGAAGGCCCAAAGAAGCAATAGCAATTTACTTATTGGCACATCTTTAATGAACGATAAAGTTAATCCAGATGGAGATAGAGCAGATGGTAAAGCCCAAGGCAAAGAGGAAGATAGAAAGATGGAATTTGAAGAGTTTATGAAATAATAAACTACTAGAAAGTTATCAGGAGACTTTAATGCTAATACCTCAGCAGATATGAGTAGTGACTTAAATAGCAGCAGATCAAGCAGCAGAAGTGGAGGAGGCAACAAGAGAAATAGAAAGACTCTAAGAAAGGAACTAGGCTATGGGGTAAACGAAGATGAAGACCAAGATTATAATTATCAGTAGAGATAACAACCAAACAATCCAGCCTAGAAAAAGTAAGTTTACATTTATTTTTTATTTTATATAGGATTATACCAAAGGCACAACCACTAAACATCAATAATAATCTATTGTGAACAAAACAAAGCAATGAATGAAGATAAAAAAGCTATCTAATAGTTAATTAGTGTATTAATAATGACGGAAGCGAAATTAGTGAGATGATGATACATTAATAATCGATATCATTATTAAAATTATAAAAATATCAGCTATAAAATTATAATTATCTATCTTTGTGGACTAAGGGGTTTTGGGGTTTTGGGGTTTTGGGG